CGGACCCTAAGGGACCCCCATACACAGACACCCCCCTCCCCACCACCCGGGACCCCCCGCCCCACACAGCCCTCCTGCCCCATCTCCTGGGACCCCTGCCCCACCTGCGATGCTCATGAAGCGGTGGGAGAAGATGGAGAGCTGGACAGGATCGAGCTGGGGGCCGAGGGGCTGCGGGGGGCCCGAGCCCACCGCGATGCAGATGTCGCCGAATCGGGTCAGGCTGGCGGAGCAGCCCGGCTCCACCACGATAGTGCTGGGGGCAGGGGGGCATGGGGCTCATGGGAGTCCCCAACGGTCCCCTGGTGATCCCACCAGTTCCCAGGGGTCCTTCTGGCTTCCTGAAGTCCCCACCAGCTCCTCAGTGTTCTCACTAGTTCTCTGAGGCTCCCATCAGTTCCTTGGGGTCCACACCAGCCCCCAAGTGTCCTCTCCATATCCTCCACCACCCCTGGATCCCATCAGCTCCTTAGGGTCCTGCTGTCACCTGGAGGTCCCTGACACATCTCAGGGTCCCCACCCGACCCCTGGGATACCACAAGTACCCTGAGGTCCTTCTGCCTTCCCAGAGTTCCACCAGCTTCTTGGGGTCCCTGCCATCTGATCCAGGGTCCCCACAATCTCTCTGAGATCCCACCAGCTCCCCAGGGTTCCCACTGTTCCCCAGTGTCCCCACTGGGGTCCCACCAGCTCCTTAGGGTCCTGCTGTCACCCCAGGATGCCCATTGTCTCCCAGCATCCCTGCCATTCCTCCATGGTCCCACCAGCAGCTTGGGGTCCCACTATCACCCTGGTGTCCCTACCTGTTCTTGTCAATGATGATGGCAGGGCCGGGGATCGTGTGGTCACAGGCCAGCTCCTCCAGCAGGAACACCGGTGTCTCCAGGTACCTCTCCTCGAAGTAGCACCGTGTCACCTGCCGGAGCAGCCCCCACCCCATGTTGGGTCACCGCCTGGCCCTGGCCCCCCCAGGACCCACAGCCCCCTGCCCTCACCGTCTCCACGCGGGGTGGTTTCCCGCTGGGGGCCAGGGGGGTCTCACAGGTGATGCCGCTGCTGCGCCGTCACCGTCGCCACGCGGGGTGGTTCCCCGCTGGGGGCCAGGGGGGCCTCGCAGGTGATGCCGCTGCTGCCAGTGCCGCGCACCCGCACATCGTCCACCACCACTGCCCGGTCAGCAATTGTGAAGCCAAACTCCACCAGGTACCTGGGGGGAGACAGGCAGCAGCTGTGGTGAGAGGGGGCCAGGAGAGCCCTGGCTGCCCCTGGCATGCCATGGCAGTGCCAGGACAGGAGTCACAGTGCCAGCATGGGGATCACGGTGCTGGGACATGGATTGCAGCACTGGGATGGGGATTGTAGTGCTGACATGGGGATCGCGGTGCTGGAATGGGGATCATGGCACTGGGATAAGGATTGTGGCACTGGGATAAGGATTGTGGCACTGGGATCAGGATTGTGGTGCTGGGATAGGAATCACAGCACCAGAATGTGGACTGTGGCACTGGGGTGAGGATTGTAGTGCTGGAAAAGGGACTCTGGTGCCAGGATGGGGAATCACAGCACCAGGATAGGGATGGTAGCACCAGGAGGGGGATCATGGACCACAACACTAAGATGGGGATTGCAGTGGCAAGGGAGGGATGGAAATGCTGGGGTGGGGATCACAGTGGCAGGATGGGGATGGCACTGGCAGGATGGGGACGGAGGTGCTGGTACAGGAACGGTGGTGCCAGGATGGGGATGGAGGTGCCAGGATGGTGCCGGCAGTGCCGGGATGCACCTGTTGGTGAAGGCAGCCAGGAAGTCTCCAGCGTGGCAGGAGCTGGGGGTGGGTGGGTGCCCCTTGGCCGAGCACATCAGGGCGCAGTCGGTGCCCTCGTAGCGCAGGTGCAGGAAGGCCTCGGTGTGGATCTGCTCCCTGTGGGGAGTCCCAGCAGGGGGGTCAGTGTGCTGGCCCTCTCGATTCCCCTGCACCCCGCCCCAGCCCTGCAGCAGCTCACCTGGTGAAGCCCTGCGCCCGCAGTGCGTCCCGGCACTCCTGCTCCAGTGCGGCAATGCGCTGGTCCAGCCGGGGGAAGGCAGAGGCCTCGTAGCGCAGGGCACAAGGGGTCTGTGCCTCGTGTACCACGTCTGCCAGCGCCAGCCCAAAGGCCGACAGGATCCCGCTGTACCTGTGCAACCCCCACTACTATGCCCACCCACTGGGGACCCCACTCGCCCACCAGCAGCAAAGACACAGTGCCTGGAGACACCCCCATACCCCTGGTACCCGCTGTACCTGTGCAAGCCCTGGCACCCCTGACCCAGCACCCATGGGCACCCCCAGACAAAACTAAACCACCTGGGGACAAGGAAACCCCCAGACCCAGCACCTACCACCACTCCCAGACCCAGCACCCACAGGCTCCCCCACACCAAACAAAACCACCTGGGGATAGGGGGTCACCCAAACCCAGTGTCTAGGGTCATTCCCAAACCAAACATATCACTTGGGGACCAGGACACTCCAAATCCTGCACTCTAGGGCACTCCCAACTCCAGTCCATGCCTCTGTGGATCAGTGCATCCCAAACCCCCTTTCAGCCCCCAGGAGACTACAGCACCCCAGATCCAGCACCTATGGGCACCCCCAATCCTGAAACACCCACCTGGGGACATGGGCACTCCCAAACCCAGTGCAGCCTCCTTGAGGACTGGGGACAGTAGCCCCCCAGTCCCACACCCTCAACCCATGGCGACACTGGGTACCCCCATTGGTGCTCCCTCCACCCCACAGGGGAGGTCTCCATGGAGCCCCCCCACCTGTACCTACTTGTGGATGAAGACGCGGCTCATGCCGAGGGTGCGGGCGATGGCGCAGGCGTGCTGCCCCCCGGCGCCCCCAAAACACGCCAACACGTGGCTGGCGGCGTCATGTCCCCGCGCCTGCGGGTGGGTGGGGGGTGA